AAAATTGTCATATTGAAATATACTTTTATATTCAACAGCAAAATACCAATATGTACATTTATTATTGATAAAATAAGCTTATGTATAATTATGTTTATTTTTTTCAGATTGGAAGCTGGAAATATGTAACTGTTTTGTTTCTTCATTCTAATAAATTGGAGGTTCTTCCAGAGGAAATGGGGGATATGCAGAAATTAAAAGTTATAAATTTAAGTGATAATAGGTTTGTAACTTACATTATTTTGCATGAATATTCTGTTATTCACAATGAAGCTCTGGATGGATATAATCCAATCACTATTTCTCACATAGAATTGTTATAAGCATAAAATGATGGGTCATTCAAATGGGGAATTATTGTTTCTTTGGATGAAGGTGGAATGAACATGTAATATTTATATAAAGCATATTATGTAAAATATTTTGATATATTTTATAGGTTCTGTTGGTGAGAAAAGGTATGGCTAGGAAATGTGAAAGTCACATTAGGAAATGTGACTTAAGAATTTAGACAGGAGGAATTCGAGGAAATTTGAGGAAATTCGAGGAAAGAGCATAGTTGTTTGCAAGAGAAATGTGCTTTGATTCCAGAAAAGTTTGAAGGTTGCAGGGGCTGCAGTTGTGTTGGCAAGAAAAGGGGCGGTATTTCACACCAGGAAGACCAAGTGACAACTTGAAGACATTATGATGGATTTGCCTCTTTTTTTGCCTCTGTTTTTAATTCATTTATATTATTCAATGATCCAGAGCAATGTGCAAATGCCTTATTCTTGAATTATTTGAGTTCTGCTTCAGAACTTATTCACAGTCTAGCTGTGTAAAACTGTCTGGAACCACTTAAAAAGCTGAATTTACCACAAGAATAATTTGTAATCCCAATAATAATTAGAAAGAGAAAAATTACACAATTAAAATGGATAAGAATGTGGGAAAAATAATCATTTTATTGCTGTAGTTTACTAATAAATAATTATTACTGCTTTGATTTGCTGATTAGCTAAACAATCATCTTGACTTTTATTCACAGATTGAAGTATTTGCCTTATAGCATTTTGCAACTGCAACATTTGACTGCTTTGTGGTTATCAGATAATCAGGTAAATGGTATTTGTATTTCATAATTTAATATTTATATTTCCTTTGAAACAGAGTACGTTTTAAAAATAGCACTTGAACTGAAAATATATTGTTAAATTATTTCATAATATTGACTTGTACATTTGATATTTTTATCATGAAGTGTTGTATTGAATATGTTACTATGTTTCTGATGAGAAAAATATTTTATTGATACTTTGCCTAGAAATAAAGTGAAAGAACGGTCATCAAGAGAATTTTAGATACTCAAAAAACTCTCTGAGCAGTTTTACTCAGTTTCTTAAGAAATATCTTCCCTTCCTTGTCTATAAAAGTGCAGTTGAAAATACTTGGGTTAGATAATGTTTATTATATTTCTCATTTGCTTGTTAAGAAAAGTTTAAGCCTTCCTCCCTCATTCTGTGGCTTATTCTGAGCAGAATGCAGGAGGCGGGCGGGGAGGGGGGGAAGGAAGAAACGTGAGGAAGGAAGGAAAATGTTTCAGTAAAATATAAAAGACAGTTTTACTTACACAGTAAAACATATGCTTGTCTAATTGCTGGAAATTAAGTTCTTTTGTATTTCCATATGAAGAACGAATATCTGAACTGTACTTGTTTCCTCATACATTGAACAAATAACATTTAATATTCTGTTCCATGATTTTTACTATTTTTTTATAGGCATATATGATTTTTGTAAATAGGCTCTCTCTAATGACCCACCACCTATATAATATGTGACCCACGTCACATTATATATCCATTGTGGTTATAATTAAACATGAATATTTACTTACTTATTTATCAAATTTACATAGTTGCCCAACTCTCCCTCCCTCTCCCCCCCCTCTTTATTTCAACACATGTTTATCTTATCGTTATATATCTTAGACATTCTTTTGCTATCAACATAAGATTTGTTTTGTGTCCAAACAATTACCAATGACTGATTCCAAATCATAGTTTATCTCTTAATATGAAGTGACAGTACAAATATAATAAATTAACTTTTGGAGCTGTATACAGTTTTCTTTTATCACTATACCTTCAGAACTGAGATAAGATTCTGTGGAGTCAGGCACGTTGAATCATTCAAGTAGACTTTGTTGCTTTTTCCCAGCTAGCAGATTTTTGTTCCTTCGAGATCTGTAGAGAACAATCATCTAATAATCCAGAGCAAATTTTGAACTGGTCTCAAAGAACCATATTTAATGTTTTACAGCAAGTTATATAAATAATTAGATAAAAAATGAATTATAGTAGCTTAACCTGCATAATCTCTATATGTATTCATAAATGTTCCCTTCTTTCATTCACAGTCTAAACCTCTCATTCCACTTCAAAAAGAAGTTGATCCAGAAACACAGGAAACTGTTGTTACTAATTATATGTTCCCACAACAACCAAGATCTGAAGATGGTAAGAATTATATTTATTGATTATTATACAAAATGCTACTTGGAATAAAAAAAGGTTAGATTGGATTTGTTTGCTTGACCTTAGAAATTCAAAACACCTGAAAAAATCTGTAAGATATTTCATGGGAGAAACAAGTATTAACAATATTTAAATTCTGTAGGTCTCCCCAGTATATAATAGAGATATGATGACCATTAGGATTCTGAAAGATTTTTAGGTTTTGGCTCACAGATTTGTGAGCCAGCATCTAAACAACTGCTGTTTAAGGCATATTATACTATAACTTTACAGCACTTATAAATGAATGTGTTTTGTGTCTATGTTCTGGACATGCTCTGAGCATTGAGTAAAAAATACATTGGAAATTATGGCTCAGATTAAAATCAGTAGTTCACATCTACTGTCTCATATAAAAGGGAAAAAAGCAAGGTACAATTTAAACTGCATAAAGAAAAAATTCTCGTGAAATAATTGGGAGCTGCCTGAAATTTTGCCTTCTGGAATACATTAGGAATGGAGCCACATTATCTGTTTTATAAATTGCTTCATGCTTTATCAAGTCTTTATAATTGGGGTGAGAAGATGAATAGATTCATTGTGCATAATTTCTCTCATTACTGTTTATAAACATAGATAATTGTAGCCCTTAGGACCGTCTGAGTGCAATATCTGGTCCAAAATATAAATTAACAAATTTGAAAAAACAACAAGTGGTTATTTCCTCAGCAGTCTTTCAGTTGTAGAGAATTCTGAAATTGTGATACTTAGAGCAATTAATAAAATTAGTCCTTAACTTACAATGATAATAGAGCTGGCTAATTATGTCATAAAGCGGGCCCTCACATGACTGATCCAGTTTTATGACCTTTTTTGTGATGGTTGTTAAGCAAACACCATTGCTGCAGATGTTAAATGACTGCCAGGATCGTTAACAATGTCAGGCATCTTTGCTGAAAATCAGAAGTAAATGTGTTTTCAGCAAAAAACATCATGAGTTGGGATCATATGACAGCAGGATGCTGCAAACAGCCATAAATGTGAGCAAGTTGCCAAGTGCCCAAAATGCAGTCACATGTGTATGTGTGTGTGTGTGTGTGTGAGTGAGCAGAACTGGGTTGTAGCTACCTTTTGTGTTTGTGGGGGGTTCTGGTGTAACTTTGATTGATCACCAAGTAACTTGTCATGTTTTGCACTGTCTATAAACATTTCATTTTTTAAAAACAAGATTATCATCATGAGTTTTCAGATCTAAATATTTTTCATTTGATTTCAGTAAAGTTCATCAGATCTTGACTATTCCTGTTGCCAGGTAGTAATGGAAATGGAAACTTCATTCATTTCAAATTGGAGCTTGGGCTTTGGCTGTTTATAGTGCATTCAGCCTGTTTCGTTAAGGAGGATTTTAAGAAATGCTACGTGCTGTTGTATGAATTACTTTATTTTCTCTAACTTACCTTTATACTTTTATTCAGTTATGTTCCTGTCTGATAATGAGAGTTTCAATCCTTCACTGTGGGAGGAGCAAAGGAAGCAGCGTGCTCAGGTGGCTTTTGAATGTGATGAAGATAAAGATGAAAGAGAAGCACCACCTAGAGTATGTATTTGCTTTATTCTGTTATCTTGCCTTTAGCTTTATCCTTTACAGGTGAACCACAGCTGCTTTGGATGTAATATTTTGCTGAGGTGGATAATCTGTCAATGCATATCCTATTTGATCTGATGGGATGGGCAGATAATCTCAGAGAGAGGTGGTCCTACAGATAACCTGCTCTGGTGTCCTGTAGAGCAGGGGTCTCCAACCTTGGCAACTGTTGCTAAGGTTGGAGACCCCTGCTTTAGAGCTTTAAAGGTGATAGACTTTAAAGGTGATAACCAGCACCTTACATTGTACCTGGAAGAAAACCTGGATCCAGTGCAGCTTGCTTATCAGGCATGTAACATGAGCAAACTGGCGGGTGGAGGCAGCCAACACTTCCGGATGGTCTTCAAAGGTAGCCCCAAGTATAACACATTACAGTAGTCCAGATGGAAAGTGACCAAGATATAGGTGCTGTTACTGATAGCCCTTATTTACTGATCATTCGAAGTTATGTAAACCTCAGAAAGCATGTTTTACAGCCTTTTACTGACAGTACTTTTGACTGTCACAAAATGCTCCCCCACCAATGCATGGGGTATTGGCAACAGGTTCGCATTTATGACTGGTAGAAGCATCGTGTAGTCACGTGTCTGCAATTCGTGGCAGAAAACAGCAAAAAAGTTCCATTGGATATACTGGATTCCCTTAACAACTGTCAGGGTTCCAAGTAATAGATCCATATCAAGTAAAACTCCAAGGCAGGTAAATTCCTCAAAGAATAGCTTTATTGGAAATATATTGGCACAGATCTGGTGAAAACCGACTCTGAGGACTCCCACAGTTTTCACCTAATTAAAAGTAAAATGTCACTTTCTCAAAACAATCAGTTACATAATCCAATCACACCTCAAGTCATGTTGCTGGGTGACATCACTCTGCCTTTCTCCGGCAGGGTGTGAGAATGTCCTTGGTTCACAACAGAAAGTATTTTGTTTTGGTTACGGAATCCCAACTATCTCGACTCCCCCTTCCCTATCCCTCAGCTCCAGTGTGGCAATGAGGTAAATGAGGTCAGATTCAGGGTTGACAACAACCACCTGATTTGCTTAATGGCAGGTGACTTAATTTATGACTACTGTAAAAATGGTTATAAAATAGTCAGGTCACATGGTGACCCACTTAACAACTGCCCTAATTTACACCCAAAATTCTGTACTCCTTGTGGTAGTAAATTGAGGAGTAATGGCACTTACTGTATCGATTAGAATGTGAAACACTCTTTGCTGCAATTTATAACTGGTTAATTTTAAAATTGATTTATTTTCTTTAGGAGGGTAATTTGAAGAGGTATCCAACACCTTACCCTGATGAACTGAAGAATATGGTCAAAACTGTTCAAACAATAGTACACCGATTAAAAGATGAAGAGAACACAGAAGAAACTAATAAAGAAGCAAAGCAAGAAAGCCAACAAGTTTCAGTAAAGGATATAGGAGTAAAGGTTAGTTTCAGTTTTATGCTAGAAATTTTCTAACTTCACTACACGTTCACTACACTTTTGAGAGCAGCGAAAATTTGAACTGTTTAATTTTTTTTAAACTTTAGTTAATGTGAAGATAACTTTAAAAAAACCTTATAATTGACATTCTGTACATTTTACAAGATGTTCATCCAAGATAGATATATCATAAATAAATAATGTGTTTCACAATTTTGGTTAGCAGACTGGCCTATTCAGTTAACATTACAATTAATAGATAACGAATCAAGATGAAGAATAAAATAACCCTATAAAGAATCAAATCGTTTAAAAATCTAAAGAAACTTTTAGAAACCGCCTCAAAGTGATAAAACCCAGCACAATTAAGAACATATAAAGAATACGTGACAATAGCATTTAAAATCTGGTAGCAAAATGGGATTCCAAAGTCTTGGTTCTATCACCAAAAAAGCTCTCTGGCTTGTCAGTTACAAGCAGGTAAATGGCCAGGTCAGCTCTTGTCAAGAAGAGAGAAAGCTGGTAGGTTTTCTATAGATGGATATCACACTGACTTGAGCAGGGTCTTGGAGTACTTCCAACTACTAGCCTGGATTGAGAGTAATTGATACATGGGGCTTAGCTACTGTTAAAAAAAAAGGTAACTTATACTTGTTAATGTTGATCCTTGAAATATAATCCAAAGCACTTTTGAATTTAATTGAATTTTTGTCCCATTCCATCACTTAGTTAATGCCCTGTTATAAAATAAATTACTCTAATTTGCAGAAATACGTTGGGTCAAAGCCGTATATCTGAAATTCAAGAAACAAATTCAGACTATTGCATCATAGTAACATGGTTTGATTGGGTAAATAAACATGTTTGCTATAAGCATTTTTGGAAGAAGTGCAGAAAGCAATAAAATGGTAATATGTTGTAAAAAAAATTTAAAAAATAATCCATAGAACTATATTGTTTTCTCATTTTTTTTGCTAAAAACTTGTTTTTTATATATTTTGGCTATCTATTAATAAATAGCGCCTTTTTTACATGTATAGTTGAGTTTATAATGGGCTGGTAGGAAAATGTTAGGACTAGTGTAAGTAGACTTTGGATTTGATGAATTTATACTACCTTTCTCCCTACCATAATGCATTTTCATTTCTTTAATTTTAACATGCAGTAAGTCCCACTTTATTTGTGACCAATTCTGCTAATTTTGTTGAGTGAGGTCTCACACTCCTGTGAGTGAAATCCAGCTGGTTATTATTTTTCAATCCTCATTTTTATTATTGAAATGCAGCAAGCTATGTTGCAGTCTGGAGTCAGTAATACTTTACAACTGCTTAATTTATCTGATATCAAAATCGGAATCTGAGGAAGTGGGGGATATTGATTATTTATAATATCTGCACATTATTTTTAGTATACCTAAGAAGCCTCATCCAATGGGAATCTCTTTTCTTACTGTGCTAAATATTTAGACTTTAGAAATTACTCCAGTGAAAAACAAAATGGAAAATGAACAGAATGTTATGGGAAACTGTGTGCAGAAACCTAATGAACCAGATGATGAGAACAGTACCAGAAATTTGCAGATGAACCATCAAGTTAAAATCACAGAAAATGTGAAGCCAATTGTTAACCATGAAGATACTCTGGAGGTATTTTATGTATTTCTATGTCTTATTCTCTATCATCGTGGCATTAAATTTGGATAAAACATAAGGAGTATATAATTTTCAATATATTTTTTTATAAATCTAAAACAAAAAACTCCCATGCATACTTCATACAGTAATGTATACATGCCTTTTAAAAATAAAATAATCCTATACATATCTCCCAAAACTATCATGTACTTGAGTAGTCATGGATAGAATCACTCTGTTACCAACATCAAACTTAGTTACCAACATCAAACTTTTTACTGAATAGTAAATTTTAATAAATGCTAAGAATAATTATCGAATTTGTTACCTAGTAACAAATTTAGGTATTTATTATGTGCATTTATTTAAATTTGTTACCTGGTAACATTTCAAAAATATATTTTTATTATTTTTGTGCAACTAAAATATTATTATTGCTGCTATTGCTTTTATTTTATACTGTCCTAGCTTTATAACTTTGTGCGAATTAGTACTAGAAAACTTTCAATCAGCATGATTAAAAAAAGTCAGGTATAATAAATGTTACATTTATATAGTGTCATTTTCAGTGGTGAAATTCAATTTTTTTTACAACCAATTCTGTGGATGTGACTTGGTGAGCGTGGCGGGGGAAGGATACTGCAAAATCCCCATTCCCTTCCCACTCGGGGGCCAGCCAGAGGTGGTATTTGCGGGTTTTCTGAACTAATCAAAATTTCCACTACCGGTTCTCTAGAACCTATCAGAACCTGCTGAATTTCACCCCTGCTCAAGTTAGATGAGACTTTTGTAGCTTACAAATATCCTACATACTATTATTATTAGTATTCAGTATGGAAAATATATTTTTCCCTGCATTCCATATTTTAGTAGCCTAAATAAAAACACCCAGTGAGGTAACATTTGTATATTCTTTGATGGCCAGCTGTTTTTCTGAAGACCAGCTATCCAAATACAACTATATACATCTTAAACAACAGCTTTGTGGAAAATCTTTTAAGGCAGGGGTCCCAACCCTGAGGCCAAGGACTGGTCCTGGTTTCTGGCCTGTTAAGAGACGGACTGCACAGCTGGGGTGAGCAAGCAAAACCCCATTTGTGAAAGATTGTCTTCCACAAAACCTGTCCCTGGTGCCAGAAAAGTTAGAGACTGCTGCTTCAAGATCTTTGTGTTAACCTTAAAGGCTGTTTGTAGTTATGTTGACAAACCTGATTCTTCTTTTACAGGAATCAGAAGAATTATCTTCTGATGAGGAAATGAAAGTAGCAGAAATGAGACCTCCTCTCATAGAAACTTCCATTAACCAACCAAAAGTAGTAGCACTTGGCAATAGCAAAAAAGGTAGGCCTTTATTCAGTGATAAATGCTTTAAAAAGAGATCTATTTCTCTGAGTTGACTAAAGTTACAAGTTTTGCTTGAAAAGTAGCATAAAAATACATTTATACTCACATATTTTTTACTTAAGTTCCTTCTTCAGTTGTTTGGGCCTGGATTGCAGCTATTAGGAAACAATAGAGATCCCATGCTGTGTAAAGATCTGTGTGCTTAAATTTGATGTTGTTGCCTTGTATTCTACCTACCTTCTTCCAGTTCAGTGCTTATTATTTGGGTTTGTGCTTGTTGTCTTCCACATCTTCAATTTTGGATTAACCTAAATAAGCCAAATCTGCAACTCTTTATTATATCTTGCAGCCTAGTTTGTTTGATATGCTGACCACTGTCTATGCTTTGTTTATTTCTGCTTTATTGTCTATTCTGTATTGCATTATCTTAATCCTTTTTGTGTGGTTTTAATATAAATAATTAGTACAAAT